TCTAATACTCATATAATGCACAGCATTTTATATTGTAACTACCGGTAGCTTTATAGGGCGAGAACATTTGAACTACTACTAGCGTACTGATAAATACTTTCTGTAAAAATTATCAAGATAAGCATCATTGCAAGATTTTCTTCGACGAAAACTATTCTTTACATTTTCAGTATATATATATATCTTGAAACTCACATAACATTGCTCCGATAACCATTTGTACAATAAGCAGAAGGCGAAAGCAACTAAACCAGAAAGGTTTCTCAAAATATTTGACCACTAGGCAACATCCAAACAATACCGACAGGACATGACACGTAAAGTTCCCAACTGTCATCAGATAGTGTATTTCATTGTAATTCTCCATCTGTAGATTGGAAATAAAATAAACTCATGAAGAATTAAAGTGAAACAAAACCTATTCAAATTTCTAACAATTCATTTTAGTGCTAATAACTTGCATATTCCTTACTCATTTATAACTTGAAACTTAAATTTGTCAAGTTAAAATTATTTGTGCTCTCATAAACTAACAATGACTTCAGTTTTAAGTCATATCATTTCATTGATTATAAAAACTCTGATCAAACATCTAATTTAGTTATTAACAGTGATTCACTACTGGGTAGCAACAAATATCATGTTTGTTCAGTACCCAGTCTTGACTGAATTCCACTTATCAACTGAAACATGATCACTGGACTAATTAATTCGATGTAGCTTGTACTGTTTTTGATGACGGTGGAAGTTAACAGAAAACTGTGAGCTCGGTGATGACGTCTCTGACTGTGACACCAGGTGGCAAAAGTTCAAGTACAAAGTGTAGCCGATGGACCCATTCGTGTACAGGTATGACTATTGTTATACCATAAGCATGGATTGTTATATCTTGTATTTTATCTAACTGTTGGTAAACAAGCGAACTTTCCAAAGTTATTCAAAGAACAATCCAAAGTTTCAAGAAAAGATAATAATATAGTTATTGGAAATACATCTGGCTGCTGATGGACTTTAACTTAATCATTATGGCATAAATAAAGGCCATATTCAAAAATTATTGTTTACTACTAAGCCGAGATCTACTGCGTTTCAGTTTCACGTAAAAGCTCATAAAACTCTTCATGAACTCAGCTGTTTTCTTTAAAAGAAGTCTTACCAAATAAGCAAATGAAATCAAATAATATGTAGTATTATGTATCATAAGTTGAAAGAATTTGAACTGGCGACAGTCTTATGTATTAAGAATCAATACATTCCTGTCGATTTATTAATCTGATGTCAACCAATCCATCAACAACTAGGCTTTCCGTATCTCTAACATAGTAAGCAGTACATTTAAACATTTAATGCGCGAAAACGAATGTGTTGTTATTCTATGCGGAACAATTCAAGAACTGATGACAATAGTAACAATTCATTTCCGAAATTTCTTGTAGTAAATAAGAAAAAAGAACTGTGATTTGTGTGCTCAAGAACAATAGGTTTGCACCGACCTCCGTTTAGAACTACAAAATCATACATATATTTAAATTATTTAATAACGGTTTCGACTGTCCCATTGTTGACATTTTGGATGAACATCAACTGTGAGATGCAGGTATGCCAAAATGACGAGTCCTGAATAGGACAAAATGTACGTCTTAGATTTCTTTATTCTACATAAACTTGTACTTTGCTATGAATCCAAGAAAGACAAAATGATTAAATATCTGATTTAACATAAGAAACGGCTAAAATTCTGATATTTCATACTGTGAATAAACAGCTCTCGTAGATACCAGTTGAAGTAGAATCATTTCCTTCAATTTTTGGTGATAAATAAAGATAGTAGCATAAATCATTTGCAATTTATTCACTAAATTATGACTGCCCACAATATAGGTCCATCGAAAGTACAAATGGATTATTACAAGTGAAATATTCTCACTAACTAAAACAACTTAACCTTTAATTAAATCACAGATTTAAAGGAAATTCATTAAATTTCAATTGAGTAATTAATTATCATTATCTATTGTTATTGACATTCTGTGTTAGTGAGTCAAGTATTGCTTGTAAGTCTGTATTGAGTTAGTCAGTATAGAAAACAAAATAAATTAAATCCTCTCCTGAGAAATCGTAAAACTTTACTTTGGCACAACATTTCATTAAAACCATGATTATAGTTGACAATCTATTATGTTAGCAATATTATAAATACTCACGAGTAAAAACAAATAAACTCACATCGAAAATCGATAGACCGATTAAACACAATCCAGAAATGATCATTAATAGTCTGATAAATGAGTTGATTAGATGAGGAATAAGAGATTTGGTCATAATTACAATTTTACGTCTAGCTATCATGAACCAAAAGCAGTTTCCCGCCATATCTAAAAACGAGTGAACGAAGTAAAACATTATGTAATGTGTCACATATATATAAATATAAGTTGAACAATATGTCCCAACCACACTGTTTTTAATAGAAGTGAAGATCATTACTTAAATAGAAAATTTTCACAATAAAATTATTCTATATTGACGATCGACGATCATTACATTCACTAATGAAACTGGTCACGAATCAGCTAGACAAATGATGCTGATGAACTCATTTGCATAGTGTGCATGCTATTTAGTCGTTATTATTTGCAATTAGCTTCTAAATGTCATAATTCGAAATCATTTGATCTATCACATGTATACAAGCATTACCCTTCATTTTGACGTCAATTAGATCAGACGATGATGTTACCGACAGGCTCATCACTTTTAGTGACCCGATATCTCACTCCATCTAAATCGTATTATTATTGTTGTTATTGAAATATACATTCTGCCATTCCTAGTATAGTATTATCGACTTAACTCGCGTTAGTGATTAATGGAATTGAATAAGTCGAATACGAGAATGAATTTCGAATACCTATTATTTTGTACAATTGTGGATCAGAACGGACAATTAGAGAGAAAGAGAGCGAGAAAGCGAAGGACGCATTACACCTCTTGTTCATGAATTTAATTCCTGATTTCCATGTGACACTACCCATTTCTAGTATTATTAATTATATCTGATACCATTGTGATAACGACTCCTTTCCCATTCACCACAGTAATCCCATATCTCTTTGCTGATACACTGAAACAACTTTGGTAGATATCCATTTTTCACAGATCTTAAGTCAAGTATGATTCAGTGATGAAGTCGAATTTATGAGATCGAAGTATATTGTGTTAAATATTGAATTTTGTCAAGCTGATCCAGAAACAGTGTACTAATATGTAATAACTTTTAACGGGTACTGGAAAATGTCTAATTTCTTTTGATGAAAAACAGTCTTTCTGGAGAAAGTATTTACATATACTTATAGACCTTTAATTGAATTTACATAGCTTTAAAACGTGTTGTAAATCACATTACTCACTGAATAGAGCATAGCTAATCATCAGCACTCGAAACCAATGTTTTTCTGGTGGAAATACGCCAAATGAACTATAAATATATAAGCAAAGGATTTGCAGAACACTGTTTAAATGAAACCGAATTGTGATTGTGAAAACTATTTTATTCAAATGTGTTCTGAAGAGACAGAAACTAATTAATTTTTTTGAATGACATTACAAAACTGAGAAAACCCATTTTTTCTGAATATACGAAAACATTAATTAGAGTTTGTAATTTACAATACTTTTAGTTGTTTTAATTAAGTGAAAGGTATTTATAGACATCCCGTAAGTATAAAAAGTAATAATAAATCTAAACATCCCCTTCATTATTCGCCATCAAAATCAAAAGTATTAAATTCAAGTAAACTAACTTTGCATATAGTTTTTCAGAAAATGATTTTCATTATTTATCAGTCTAACTTAGTCAACATGAGATTAACTTCGTTAATGAATGATTGGTTTGTCCTTTTTCATTATGATGACCTAACGCTATGTAAAGATATCGATTTTTACTTTATTCAGATCACTGATTGATTATTCAACTTGTTAAGTGTCTAAGCAATTGTTTTGTGGTCAATGATTTTGATTTTAGAATTCCAATCTCCTTACTAATTTGAATTTCTATCATATTTTGTAATCTCATGTGATTTAAACATGTGATGCTTAAATTTATTCTTTAAACTTTCGTCAATCGTCACTCATCATAATTTCTGATGATGGTTATCATAGTGTAGGGTTTGGTACTGTTTCAAGCCCATATAGGTTATTCTAGCCCCTGGACAGACCAATATATTCATCCTTCTCAAGCCAAATTTTTAGCTTGTCACTTATTCACTTATTAAGCCTGACCTTTTTTTATATGATCGTATGTGTGTTAATTACTTACCCTATTCATCATATGTCTGTAACTTATTTTTGTTTGACGATTGATATCGAGTGACACTTGATTAAATCAAGTTGGATAACTCGCCTTCTCTGCTGCGCGTCACCTCGTTTCATTCCTCTTTGCTGCCTTCAATCTACCTCTGATTTTGTGTTCATAACAACGATTGCATGAAATAAACGTATTCAAAATCCATTGTTATATTTGCTTTATTTAATTCTTTTGATACTGAAGTTGTTAAATAAATAACATAGCAGTTACTTTGAGCACACTAATTTAGTTTAATTGTTGCTATGCTGTTTCACATTTCTAGTTTAAACTAGTGACTTTGCCAATAATGCAACTAAATTCCCATTAATCTTATGATATTCATTTTCATTTGAATGCATAGAGATTCCGAAACCTCGTGATTTTTGAATAAACACTTTCCAGTTTTCGAGCATTTATCGGTAGATATCTAATTATAAAGAATTCAGCAGTCATTTGTTGGTTAGAATGCTATGTTAAAATTTTATATTTGTTATTTTTTGTGGAATCTGCCAAAATATATTAGTTTACACATTAAATTAAAACACAGAACAGTAAACATGGTGGCATTATAAAAAAATTGATGTTATTTCGTTGAAATCGCAGTCAAAATTATGCAGTATGGAATTCTTATTATTTATTTACCTACGCTTGTCACCTTTCATCGAGGAGCATAGGCCGCTCACCAACATTCTCCATCATACTCTATCCTGGGCAATCCTTTCATTTGCTACCTCATCCTTTTGATGCCTGCTCCCGATTTCCGACGCAGTGTGTTATTTGGTCTTTCCCTTTTCAGTTTTCCTTCAGGATTCTAAGTTAGGACTTGCCTCGTGGTGCAGTTTGGTGATTTCCACAATGTATGTCCAATCCACTTCTAGCGCGTTTTCCTAATTTCCTCCTCAGCTAGAAGCTGGTTTATTCTCCACCACAGTAGGCTGTTGCTGATGGTATTCAGTCAACGGACATTGAGTATCTAACGTAAACAAATGTTTAGAAATACTTGTAAATGTTTGATGATGGTTGTGGTAGTTCTCGAAGTTTCAGCTCCGTACAATAAAACTGACTGTCTTTATGTTCGTATTAAAGATTGTGGCTTTGATTTTGGTTGACAGTTGTTTTGATTTGCATATGTTGTTCAACTGTAAAAATGCTGCCTTTAATTTGCAAATCCTCACCTTTATATCTGCATCAGATCCTCCTAGTTCATCGATGATGCTGCCCCAATAGGTGCTTGTAGGAATGCATCTCTCCAGGAGCTTCTCCACAAAGTGTGATTGAGTTGGTATTCTCCGTGTTGCATTTAAGGATCCCGCTTTTTCCTTTCTGTGTTTAGGCCTACTGATGCAGAGGCTTCTGCTACACTAGTTGTCTTAACCTGATTTTGTTGTTATGGATGGGATAAAAGAGCTAGGTTATCTGCGAAGTCTGAATCGTCTAGTTGCATGCAAGCTGTTCATTGTATTCCGTGACTCCCCTGAGTTTTGGAGGTCTTCATAATCCAGTCAACCACAGAAGAAGAGGAAAAGTGAGAGCAAGCAACGTTGTCGGACTCCAGTCCTCACTTGGAATTCGTCTGTCCGCTATCTTCTATGCACAACTGGGCACTGTAGTCCGTCGTATAAATTCCGTATGATATTGGTGATTTTCTCAGGTACACCATAGAGTCGAAGAAGGTTCTACAAGGTTCTTCTATCCACACTGTCAAATACTTTCTCATCCTACCATATGTAAAAGACATATCAGAAATTACAACGACATTTCCGAAGCCTTTTCGAATTGGTGTATCCCACAAACCGACGAAGTCACTTCGATCAATCCTGTGCAAACCAAAGAATGAAATGACAAAAGAAGAAAAACCGGACATCATCTACAAAATAATTGTTCCAACTGCGAAAAACACCACATCAAACAAAGCGGACGCCCTCTTTATCTTCGCCTGCACGGACATGAATTGGTGTTCAAATGCCATGACATATGACCAGTAATCAAATTATTGGGATGAACAATCAAAATAGAGAGGCAAACAATGACAGGTTAAAGGTCAACAATAACCAATTAATATGGAGGTCTAGAGGACATTCTGTAAACCACATGTGGAGAAATTTGAACGCTACACTTCTACTTGAAGTTTGTGCTGATGATGTCGTTCAGAATAAATCTGAAAGCTCTACGACCAAACCATCCAGCTCAGAGAACAAAACCCTACCAAAAAATGTTAACACTTCATATTAGTCATCCCAATGTTAACAACTTTATTTTATTTTATACGACAAACAACCCTTGATTCATATGTTATAATTTTAAATGATGTACCTTGTCTTAAACTTAGCTAATTTTTTGGATTTTAAACATCTGATACCCATACCTTATGTTTATACCAGTTAAAGTTAATTCAAAACTTTGCTGGATTTCAATACCAAGATCATTGCAGTAGTATAAGTTTAGGAGACATGATTAATTTTCTGTTTCATTGAGCATTGCTTATTTTATAAAAAGCTTGATTAATCGTATTTTTCTTAATGATTTTCTGCCCATCATATTTCGTTTCGTATTCCCAGTATTTCAGCAGTAACTAGTAAACATCAGCCAGTATATTAATGTGATAATGATTTTACAACTGGTTTTCTAATTAGTTACAACGAAATTAGTACAAAAACTTACCTAACAAATGGGAATAAACTATTTACATGCTCATAATGCACAGATGCTACGTACCTTCAGAAGGAAAAAAATAATTAATTCTGTTGAGATATGTACATATGAATGTGCAAATTTATATTATGAAATGAACGCACGTAAAGAAAGTATGAAGTTAAATAAATGTAATGAAGTTGGATTCTATGGAACCTAATAACAGGTACTTTCATACTACATTATCATGAGAGCAAGAAATGCACGCTACTGGGATTTTCTCTTTGGCAGGTAAATGCTATTCACTGCTTTCTGACTTGTCATAGTTTATGGTTCATCTTCATTTATCCATCATTCACAGACATTTAGTAACCAGATGTGTTTCTGAGGAATTGTAAGTAGAAAAAATTGTTATACAGACATCGACATACCCAACAGGAAGATTGAACTATCAATTCATGGTCTTGTTTCATGAGAAAAACCTCAAATCAGTTTTGTATACGTTGTTTTGCTTTAAAAAAGTAAATCAATCTCTGTAATATAGCTGTTGTCAATATAACATATCACTCTGATATTTTATACACACTTTTATGAATTGTTTATCCGTTTATCTTTATGATAAAGACCTTAATTTTATCAAAACACTTTCGTTAAGAATCTCTTTCCTTCTGAATAGGTAATAATAATTTAAAAGTAGTTTATACAGTGATTTTGAAAAGTAATCTACGAGCCTGTAGAAAATTATGTATCATGTTTTTTCAGTATGTAGCTCAATTCATCAATGATAAACTAACAAAATTGGGTGGTTTAAAAAACAAAGCTTCTTTAAGTCAAGTAAATTACAATCACATTATAGAAAAGATAATAGAAGTGAACTTGATTTTGAATTTCCAAATTTACTCATTGTCAATGTCTTTGCACAATGAAAGTCCGATAAAAATTAGAATGAGTTATGACTTTTAAAGAATACATATATGATGAACATAAATCTGTCACTTAACTTCGTTTATTACACATAGTCTAACATCATTTATCTGATAGTGGCAATAACAAGCCAAATACGGTTTACGTTGGATGAATTCGTTTCTAACACTTGTTTATACAAACACACATCCACAATGAAAAACAGGAAAACAAAGAGGAAAATTCGAGTGATCCAACTCGATTTGATCAAGCATGACTCGACCATTATAATCAGACAAAAATAAGCTAAAGATATGTGACGAATAGTGTGAGCGATACTCACAAGCTCATAGAAAACCAGTCAAGGTTAATAAGCGAATAAGTGACAAAGTAAAAATGTGGTTTGAAAAGAATGAATAAACTGGTTTGTTTGGAAGCTAGAATAACCCATGTGGGCTTAACACACTACCGTCTGGTCCGTCGATAGATATGTTCGCCTGTGAGAACACTTTGTACCGCATATTATAGATATCTTGATCATTCAGTAGTTTCCCATAAGAATGGTAAGCATAATTCTTAATGTGGAATGAAGCAGTACCAGATATTAGCAGCGGTCGCACATTTTCAAACTGGGCCTCTGTTAACCTGCGCACCCATGAATTTCCTTGGTACCTTAGCGAATTGCACTCGTGATTGTGATGCACATTCCCACGTACAACAGTCCAGTAGCCGTCGATAATCTTACAATACATGAAGGCCGGACATTGAGTGTTCATGGAAGCCCTTCATGACAAAAAATGTTAATAACATTTATAAAATTACCTCCTCCGTCTGATCCGCTGTGACGAACCGCTAGATGTTATACGGCCATGTCTCCAGCACACAAATTTAATGTACGCGTTTTCATTTCTGCACAAATGCGAATCTCGAACTACATAATGACAGTAAGTTGATCTTTCATAATTTGTGATAGCGGACTTCAACGCTTCAATCGATGGGAACGCAACGAGAAACAAGGTTGTCAAAAAGACTTCCTCTATTTCTGTTACGTGAGAAACAACAGCGCTTGTACTAGGCACGTTACTGTCCTCCATAATGATGATTAAAATGTACTTCGTCGACAAGTACTGATGTTTTATAGCAATCCGACAAAACATAACTAACAAATAAAAAACGAACTTCAAAACTAGCCATTTCATTGGACGAAACGGGATGAAAAATATTGCAATTTTGGGTTGAAAAAACATTTTTAAAAAGGGTGGGTGGGGCTAATGAATTTCCTATAACTACTCTATAGGTTACCAATCCACCATTGATGTTTGAGAAAATAATTTCCTTATCTTTGTCATTAGTTGTTTGTTTGAAAAATGATTCATGTTCATACGGACTTTAGTAAGCAAACAATTTTCAAGTTTATCTATCTACTAAGATTTTTTCTTTAATTATCCTGTGGTATTAAGCTACGAGTGCTTCTAGGCTTACGTATTTCTGCATAGATGTATTGATGCATTTGTCAATACTAATTCAGATAGTGTGATTTTCAAAATATATTCATATCAAAGCAACTCAAGCAGATTTAAAGACAGGCTTCAAACCTCATCGGCTTAATAACTATATAGCAAATATTAACCACAAGAAAATTCGACATTTTTATTGAGAATTATAGTTACATAAAGTGCTTCATATATGCTATCAAATTACTGTCAATTCGATGTCACTTTCATTGAGTAGTTTTGTAAAATAAATATTTAAAGCAAGAATTCATATAATTAGCTTACAATGGAGGTAATCCTAAAACAGCGATTGCAAAAGCAGTTTTAGAAAACCACAATGGTTTACATTTTCTCCGACAAATTAACATTCAACTTCAATAATATTTCCCACAAGTTGAGTTAAAATCTAAAAATGTAAAAAAAGTTATAATTCTCAGTATATTACGAGGCTGCAAATACAACTGTCGAGTGGATTTTAGAATGTTCTCCAAGTACAACTGGAGTTCAGAAGACTATAAATCGATCATTTACTCAGATAAGAAACATGATCACTAATTCAGAGCATGTTATCTTTGAATATTATGAACTAGGATAATTAAGACTGATAATACCAATGGAACACAACCATTTGAGTCACATATCTGATTTCTTTAATCGGTATTGATTATATCAGTGTAACATGAAAATGTTAGTTTCAATATTGATAAGATGAGAATGGGTTCGTTCATATTACATTTAGCTAACTGAAAACACGACAAATTATTCAATAATACGATTAACCATATAGACTACAAATAATGAAAAAAGCTATTCTATAAAAGGTATATCAATGATCTATTTTAAAATGTAAACCCAAATTATAATTTACATTCATAGGTATTGTGCCTCAATTTTATAACTCCATGTAAAAAACTTACATTCTGACCTAATAAATTAAATATAATAAATAAGTAGTAAATAAACAATCATATATAAATTCATTGAATCATGTAAATATAACATACTCATTATAAAAGGCACTTCTTAATTGCATTTCAATCATATTTTCTGTTTGTCTGCTGAAATTTAAATCACACAATTTCTAATTCATAATAAACCATTAAAAGTTTTATAACATTGAAAATCATAATGAGTTTACCATACATTTACGTCTATTAAGTTTGTGTTTTGATTTGTTGATTTCGAAAAAGAATCTTTGAATATCTGTCCAGTAATAACTTTCGAGTAAGATGGCAGGAAAGAATTTCCGACTATTAAGGCGTGTAAACACTATGTATGCTGGAAAACTTACAATTCAATACTTGATTTCATATCATGATAAACCTAATTTCCTCTTAATTCAGATCATTCCTATTCAAAATAATTACGCTGTCTTAACAAGTATATGCTGCCATTAAGATAATGGTTAGTGATTAACTACAAGTTATTACTAACTGGAAAAAATTGTGAATAATTCAGTATAATAACTCTACGTACAGCCCCTCAGAGGCTACTACCGGTCCCAGACCTGGATAAAGGAAGAGGGTTGAGCATGGGGTTAGAGACTTCATCCTGTAGAAAACTAACTCGCTAAAAAATGCTAACTAGAAAAACAATTCAATTTTTAAAATCAAAATCCAATTAATATTGATTAACCTTCAATAAACTAATAAATGTTTAATCATTAGTTTGTTTCCGTTCACTCAGTGACTATTACACTCTAAATAACATTGCGTTTCTTATAATTATGAAAATGAATTGCTTTTTGATGATATCATCTTTGCTACCCTAATTGACATATCTAAGTAATGAAAACAGTTACAATCGTCGAATGCGTATATATATATAATAATAAAATACAATAATTCGCATGACTGACAACAACGTTCATTAAATCATGTGTTACAATCCGTTCACTCAGTGACTATTACACTCTAAATAACATATATAACAAGAATATATATATATATATATATATATATATATATATATATATATATATATATATATATTGAAAGCCATAGTTTGTAAACGTGTTTCTATCCAGACAAAAGTTCTTAAAAGTAGGTATCAAAAAAACAGTTGCTTCTCAGTTTTTTTTTCTTGTTGGAAAATAATTATTTCACGACTTCATTTCAACGTTATTTTAAATACGCCAAGTATTCAACATAGTATCATGTACTGTAAGCAAATTAAAAAAAATTGTATTTACATCTTGTGTTTATCATTGCAAACAGAAGTAAAAATAAAACTCGCTCTCCTGATTAGAATGTATCAAGATAGTTTATTTACTTCAAGTATATTCTACTTTACCAGCGATAATTCATTCAATCATATCTCTTGCATCAACAAGTATCGATAGATAGCTTACATGTATTTTAAACACAAATCAATATTCTCAATAACTTCTTGATTGATTGGTTAAAATCATGATTATGTTTTACTGAAGAAAAGCGTCATGTGGATTGAGTTATTAAATAGTTTGCACACTTGAGGTTATACTGTGATATTCTCGATTTTAAATGAAGCAATTCACATTAACATTTGATTAAAGATTGATTGTATGAAAGTGAGTTGACTGCTACTAATTAAATTATTCCATTTGTTTACTCATTTAAATGTTATAATTTCAGTTGATGAATAGACAGATAATTGATATGATAGGGTTTAGTGTATTAAATATTCATGGTAAAACTTAATTACAAGTATATGCATAGAGACAATGCCTACTAGTCGGATACTGCGATAATTCGCTTGGATTAGATGATTCAATTGATAAATGTACAAGTTAATGATAGTTTGAAATGTAAGTGATTAGAACAGAGTAAGTAAGGGTGAAATGTTATATGCTGCATTAATTACGATGAATTATTAATATGAGAATAGAGATGATATGGAGAAAAGACAGTTGCTTAATGATTACTGATGATATTTGTCTGATATTGCAGTCGTGTTATTTGGAATGGCTTGATGTAATGCTGGTTTTTATCTAAAATGATAGTTTATTTCAAACAAATGACTAAAATGTGTGTTTGAAGATGGTGGAAATTTTATCAGTACTTGGAGCATGAGATCATCATACACTATCCTTATTCTCGAAAATGGCAAGTTGTTGTTATCTGTGTAGTTTCCTACTCAGTGAAAATGGCACATGATGAACATCAGAGTGATTATTTGTAAGGTGCTTGCAAACTTTACATACGTATAACTTTCAGTAATCAGTTTTTGCATAACCAATAATGATAAATAATCTTGAGTCAGTTGTACATGCTCAAATGACATACAGTTAAAAAATGTATATTTTAGTTGATGGAAAATCTGTTCATTTTAACAGCGAATTGAGCAAACAAAATATATGACAATAAGTTGTACCAACACAGTTGACATTACCTTACAAATATAATTTAGTTCATCGTAATTCGTAATGTTTTCTGTTTTAGGAAAATCAAACCAGGAAGTAAGTCTTCATCCGATCCTACTTTGGTAAATGTACTAGTTCTGTTGAAAATTATGTGAAAAACAAATCCTAAAATCTGAGATTTTAGCTCAGCAAATGTGATATAGGGAATGGTAGCTCACTTAAATTTGACGTAAGTAATGTTTGGTTACTACGCATGTGTAAATAAAGTTTTTAACATGAATTATCGTGAGTGTGAATGGACTGATTTAATCATTTCGAACAAACGAGTAATAATGACAGTTTTGTGAATGTCACACTGCAGTCATTACTAGATGGCCATCAAATGATCCAAACGAATCTGAGATTTTAAGAAGTGACTCATAAATTCACGTGACTGATGAGTAATTGTACGGATAGTAATTATACTGATGAAATCTTGGGGTGTAAGTATAGTATTAGTTAGAGTTGAATTACTCGAAATGTAGGGAAGGACGGATGACCATGACTTCTGTGTATAAGAGAAATGTGGTTTTATTTTAATTATTATTTTAATTCACATTTGCTTTTCACATCCCACTGACTTCACAATTTTATATTGTTTGGGATGTTATTTTACTTAATCACATTGATTATGGAAGAAATACTAGACCTGTCCCAACTAACCTATTCGAGTCACATTTCCACGCATAGCTAGAAAAGTAGTATATAGCCTGCAATCTTCTTGTACATTATGTGAAGGCTTATCAAATACGTTCTACAATCGTCGGCGTTTCACTACTTATCGTTACATTTCCCTGCAGACTACAATCCTCAAATTGATTTGGTTACATTATGCAGTTTACTTACAGTTTGGAAACTAGATGGTTAAAAAGATGTTCATTCATAAAATATTGGTTGAAAGTGGAATCATACATTCAATAATTGGATAGATTTATTAGAATTTAATTAGGATTAGATTCAGTGCTTTTCGAAGCCTATGATTTTTTCTGCAATACCATAGTGCATAGTTTTGTAATATATAATAATAATAATAATAATAATAATAATAATAATAATAATGGAGACGTCAAATATTGATCTGTGCTCTTGATCTTTTGAAAATTAACTCAGTATGTTAGTATAAACTCAGAAAAATGAGACCGTATGTTCTCACTTTGAATGATTAATGTGTGAATCAGATAAAATTAGATACTTTTTAAACAATATTAGGTCATATCAGTCAAATAATGTAGGCTAAACATCCATATTTACAAAGAATGAAGTTGATGGTGACTGAATTTTGTGCTTCATCATTATTTTGATTTCACATTTAAACAGTGGTTTCCTGAAGTTCGATAAGTACGGGTCAGGCTATGAAGAGGAAAGAATCATCTTTTTTATTCGTTCGAGAGTGTGTTTCAGCACGTTTGTTTGACGTGGTGATCTGTTGAATCTACAATAAAATCAAGTAAATACATGAAAATACATGTTCACAAATGTAAATAGACCCTAAAAGAAAAACATTTTTGTAAAAATCGTTTCTATCTAAGTAACTTGTCCTGTGACAATGACGACTAGAATTCATTAAAATGCATATGTTTGAGGACTGTTCAGGCTGTAATTATCTCACAAATATATTAACTCTCTCAGAAAATAGTGACTACGTATGTAGATGATGAAGATAAGAGGAATTGTCAACAAGTAAAGCTGTTCTTTGAACCCTTTGAAATCTCTAAAACATTGTTAAAACTCTTTGTCAACCCCTCATAATTGTACTATATTTTTGAATAGATTCTAGTGAAGTTGATTGTTCAGCTGCTATTGGAATACGAACATCGTTAAGTCTTTTAAATGTCAGTAATAATTGGATAATTTTGATTTAGAGTACGATTTAAAATGATTTTGATTAAAAGTGCCTCTTTACTGGGTAGTTTTAAAATGATGAAAAGCGTTAAGATTGGTTCATCTACTAATTAATATTTGAGTATCTTCGACTTTCTTAAAATCTGAAGTACTGAAATTTATATAAAAGTTAGTGATTAATATAACTGATCAATAAAACACACATAATGTATAGTGAATAGATACTCATTATTAAAATAATGCCTACATACATATGATATAAACTTCAATACTTTTATCCGATCCAAGTTGTTTCGTATATATTGACTGAAAATGGTTTTTTGTTATTTTAAAAGTCAAATTTGTTAATGTACTATTCAACATTTCCTATTTATCTTATTTTGTTTTAATTACCAAGTTCCAAATACATAAATAAATAGATAAACATATTTTATTAGCTGAGTAATTGTTACTTATTATTAGAATGAGAACAAGTTCAAATCAATTGTCTAATTCACTGAGTGTTTAAATATACCAATATCTGTTGACTATAATTTACCTTTATTTTGTTCAGTAACTAATCCATATAGATTTATATGGAGTCAAATAATTAATTCATTATAGAAAATCTATTCAAGATATCATGATACTGAAAATGACTACTTCAATTATTATTAATAAGCTTAGTTAAATAAACATGTTTAAACTTGATCACATTCAAATGGTGAATACACTTGATAGCATCATTTTCAATGTCATTTAATATTCTTATTACGAATGAAATCAACTTTGAAATAAACAAACAAATAAATATTTTTTTCACTGATTGAAATCACGAGTCAATTGAAGCTAGACCATCATAAAGAAACCTCGAAGCACTGGACGTCTTATTGTGGGACGAAACGACCGTCCATTGCTTCGAGGTTTTCTATGGTGGTCTAGCTTCAATTGACTCATGATTTCGACTGTTGAAAAAAAGTTGTTAAAACAAAGAAATGATCACCGTTAAGTAAATATACAATATGATATTAAATCATTTTGAAGTTAATGGAAAGAAATCGAATGATGTAATTATTTGAACTTACCAATCTAATAAGCTTAGAAAATTTGATAATAATAATAATATCAGAAG